ATAGGGTGGGGCTGAGGGAGTCGGGGGGTCAGGGGGCTCGTGCAGAGCCCCCCATGCAACATGGGACAGTGGGGCTCAGTGGGGATCGCCCCCTTGCCTGGCAGCACCCCGTGAGTCGGGGCTTTTTTTTTCAAAGTGCTGGAGCTGGGGCAGGCGGGGCAGCCAGTGCTGGGGGTGGAAGAGTGGGCAGGGGATGGGCCTGGCTGATTCAGAGATTCGGCTGAACTGCTTTGGGACAGTGATTCAAATCACTGAATCAAATCACTGTCCCCTGAATCCAAAGCAAATACTAGCTGCTTCGCATAGGCCTAGTTTACATTATCCATACTTGGTATTTCAGTGACCATTGGACTTCCTCAGCTTTTTTTAACATGGTTCAGGTTTTTCAAAGTCTCTCTTGCTCAGGCTCGCACTCACTTTCTGTCTCTCACAAATGCACATGCACGCATACATACATGCAAAACACCCATTGAGAGGAGAATTAAAACCAGTACTATTTTGCAAATGTGAAAAAATACACACAGGGCATGTCTATATGTGCAGTTAATGTGGACCAATTTATTCGTGCGCACTACATGGAACTCGGTTGGAGCAGTCCAGGTTGGCAGGTGACTCAGGCGTCAGGTTGCCAGCCAAGGGCTGCTCTGACCAGGCTCCAAGTGCTGCAGGGGTGGAGCTGGCTGGAGTATAGGGTGCCTCAGCTCGGGGCCAGCCAGCAGGCAGACCCCGCACTGAGGCACTCTGCATATGCACCAGCCAGCCGCAGAGCAGCACATGTTGTTGGGGGACCTTCCAGCCCAGGACTGGCTGCTCCCTCATCTCGAGGTGTACTGAACCCCAGGCAGCTGCTTCATTGCTACTTGAGATGCAGCATGCCTCAATACGGGGCTCTGCAGCACGTGGAGACAGGAGAGCAACCTTGGGCTGGCTGCTCCCCCATCTCTACTTGCCGCTCCATGGCTGGCTGGGGCACAGTGTGCTTCAGTGTTGCAGCTGCCTGCCAGCTAGCCCTGCACTGAAGCACCCTATGCTGCAGCCAGCCGGGGCAGCATTTACTTATGAGCTGCTCCTCACGAAAAAACTCCACAGCAGGTTAGTACTTGTATTTTACAAGACTGTCCCGCTGCAGACTAGATTAGCTTCATGCACCCTACTAGAGGCATACGTGTAGATGCCGAGACGTTTACTGCACAGTTAATTAGTCAACTGTACAGTAAGCATCTTGTGTAGATGCACCCATATTGTACTAAATAGTAGAAACTTTACCTAATTCTTTTTTTAAAATGATCTAACGTGCCACCTAGCTTTATTCACAATGCTTCTCTTTACATTGGTTTGTGCAAAAGTCAAACACTTGTGTCTAATATCCACGCTAATTTTATGACCTGTATGATGCATTATTTTTTCTTAATGTATCCAATCGTAGAAATTAACTGAATCCTTTTAAACAGGAAAAGGTACTGAAAGATTTTTTCGAAAGGGTAGTTGTGGGTTCTGTGTCACTCTATAAGTACGTAGGCCTTTACTGCTGATACCAAGGAAGCTCTGTACATTTTCTTATCCTTGAATTTAATTCTACGGTGCCAAAGAATTGTGCACCAGTATGAGCTAAATCACAAATGTAGTTTAGCTTTTGGCTTCAGCTTTTCAGAATACTTCAAAACGTGACATATCCAGAAAATGGATATTTCCTTTAGAATCTTAACAAATCCCTATTATTATACATATGAACTTACAAATGAAAAGCATTATTAACGCTTGCATGGGAATGTTGGATGAATACAAAATAATATAAGGTGATTACTAGGATTTCTTTCTTCATTTGTTGCTACTAAACTATTATAGGTTATTTATTTTTAGTTAGATATTGGTCAGATAATTCATTTATATAAATGTGGTTTTGTTAAACAGTTGATAGCTTTTCCACACTTCTTTGTATTATTAATTTTTAATGCACTGTAAAGCTAGAGAGTATCCAGTCATTCTACACGTCATTCTGAGATGATATGATATTACAATGATAAATGTTTTGGAGTGTGTCTAATGGAAATGCTTCTAAAGTACTATCTACCTATTTTCTTTCCTGGATAAAAATGGTTGTCTTGCACTGGTCCCTTGGGTATCTGCTTTTTCTGTATTTTCATTTTTCTTTGTCTTTATCAATAATGGGTTCTTTTTGCTGGTGTATAAGGTTGGGCTTTGTCACAATTCTTTTTTCAGTGTGTTGTTTTATAAATGTTGACTAAGGACTTAAAGCAGCAGAACTGAAAATGTTACTTGATCTGTCCTATCTTCAAGCTCTACTGGACTAATAGTAATTTTTCTTCTACCAACTAAAACCACACCTTATTCCTAAGTAAGCTGTCTTTGCAGGGCAATCTTGCTTCTTTCTAAAATCTTGGAATACCAGGTTCTTCTTTTCACAGAGCTTAGCACTCACTGATGGCCACAATATAGCCTCTTCATTTCTAAATGGCTGAGCTTCGTTTGTAGAGCTGAACATCTATAATGCCTTTGTGTCTGAAGGATGTGATTGCCTTACATTCCAGTAAAGGTTCTGTCATTATCATAGCAGTAGCGAATATATTGAATCATTGAGCAGAGCTCTTACAAATTAGCTTCCCCAGTCTTGGAAGTCATTGCACAAGTAATGTGTGTACATCTGACAAGGTTATCAGTGATTGATGGCTTCATTTTTCATGGTATGGCTTTTTATTTCATTGTATTATAATCTAATTGCTCTCCATTAAAGTGTGTAAGAGAGTGGCTGTGATTCCTTGTTCCTGAAGATATGAGAGTAATCTATGCCCTTCATCACTAAATATACTTATCTGTAACATTAATTATCATTTAACAGCAGAGTGGTCCATCTAGGAGAGCTCGTTCTTCAACTGTCACAGGTGGTGAAGAACCAATGGTAATAATACTCTTTATCAAACACTTTATGTAAATAACTTGTGGGTTGGGTTAGGATCTTGTAAGGCAATGAACATTTTTTTTATACAGCATCAGTATGCTGGTTACAATGAGTTATTTCAGAAACAATAGCTGTGTTGATATTGTCTTTTGTGTGTGTTTGAAATACTTTATCCAGCTAGTAAATACTATAATACCAAAACTGTATTAGATTCTATAAAGGTAAATGATTTTTAGACAGAACTACCCTCTTGGTAAATACCATTGAGTTGCCATAAAATTAAATGATAACAGTGCTGTGATGCTCAGCCTTCTGGCTCTGTGGGCTGGATGAGTGGCACAGGGTTGGTGTGCAGTTGTGATCCTGTGCACTGGTCCAGTCCCACTCACTGGATCCAGCATGTGCCAAACTGGTACCGTGCTTCAGATCTAGCTGCACACTGGCCCAGTCCCATGCTCTAGATCTAGCTGCACACTGGCCCAGTCCCATGCTCCATATCTAGCTGCACACCAACACGGTCCCATGCTCCAGATAGCTGCATTCCCCAAACCTGCTCATTGCATCAAGCCACAACATGACCCCTCACACTGGCTGCACCACAGACTGCTGATGTAGCACAGAGGGCCACATTATCTGGCCTACAGGCCTTCCTGCAGGTCCAGGAATTTGGGAGCAAGGGTGCCACATTAACGCTCCCTCTGCTCGCGTACTGTCAAACTTCCCAACCCGCGGGGAGTCCTTTGTGCTGAATGATACAGCTCCTTGGGCTGGAGATTGAGCACTACTTATACAGTACTTAATTTTTTATTGTTAAAATGCCATTTAAAAACCAACAGACACTTTGGAAATATAGTTTTTACCACCTTTACTAGCTGATCTTGCATCTACCTTCCTGACATGCACAGAGGACTAATTCAGTGTAATTCTTAGGCTTTAATATAACTGTAAGAACCATGGGACCATACACTTCTCAGTACAGAAACTTGTACTTTATTGCCAACCTTGATTTTTCCAGTCCCCACTCACTAGCCTGAGACTGGATGTTTTTACCTTGAACCATTCAAAAATATGCTCTAGTTTGTAAATATTGCAAGTTTTCCATCACTAAATCATTTTTCCTATCTCATTAGACTTTGTCAAAGCATGCCATGTACTTAGTCTGTTCAAATGTAAATATAAAGCAGTAGAGTGTCCTATTCATAACAGTAGCAATAATAATATTGAGATTTTATAAATATATGTGTATGTCAGTGGAAGCCAGTGTAATTAAGGTTGATTTATTGGTGGTGGCGTTATGTGCTCATTACTGACAAAATGAAGACCCATTATGTTGCACTTCATGTACTTGCTCTTTGTTAAATGTCCAAACCAGTAAAGGATTTCTTGTGCTAAGAGCCAGTACCTTTCACAGAAAAGTGCTTTTGGCTTCCAGGGCAAAACTGAGGATTGAGAGCCCATAGAACAGGCAAAAATGTGTGGTATTGATCCCCAATGTAGTGCCAGTCTTTGGTTGGCAGATACTTAGAAACACATTGGCTGCTTGCAGATGTTAAAAAAAACTGCACTTTACTGGAAGCAGTAGCGTGTTACTTCAACCTGGGTCCATAGCATCTGCATAGCTCAGGTGTTTCAGTGAGGCTTTTTGGTACTTTTATCTAAAGTTGGTTCAATAAGCTATTAGATAAGTGCCAAAAAACCTCCACTAAAGCGCCCAATCTGTATAGACATCAGGCAAGCCAGGTCCAACTAACACGCTGCCTTGCCTGGGTATGTGCTAGGCCACTGATTTGGGGTTTTGAGGGGGGGGAGGGTTGTGTGGGGAAGTTAACCTCTGCACACAGCCATTGTTTGCAACCAGAGTTGCAAAAGCTGAAGTCAGATTAGAGCTACTTTGTGAGTGCCTTATCATGAATTCTAAAATAGGTGTACATTTTGGATATTGTGACTGAGTATATTGCTGCTCAGGAAGGGGAAATTGGTGCTCAATGCTTGTAGTCATATTGATTCTGTGAATACCATGGAAATTTCAACCCAAATTGCAAAAAGAATTTAGGCATCTAAAGTGAAAGTTAGGCAAAATTTAGGCTTATAAGTTCAGAACAGTGTTCTTCAGAACACCACCATAACCCCTTGTCACATAGGCATTTAATATTCTTCTTCGGTACATGCCCAGAATTGCCCGCATCTTCAAAGGGCCAAGGATCTTTGCACTTAACCTCAACTTTAGTTGGAGTGGGATGTGCAAACTAGATGTTGCTTCACTTAGATCCCCTTGTGGGCCCAACCCAGTTAGGTACATCTGTGTGTCAAAAGAAAGGAGTGATCCCTGCTGTGTTTTTGAAAGAAATGACTTGCGTCTCAAAGCCAGGAAAGGGTTCTGGGCTACGAATCTCAATTTCTTGCTCCCCTGCTCAGTGTTTTGACACTAAGTGGTTCCTTGGTTGCTGTGCTGGCTGTTGGGAATCTCCAGGTGAGACGCTTAAACTAACTCCCTGCCTTGTGCCTTGTTCACGGTGTACACTTCTCACCAAGAGCCAAGCACCTACCAGTTAAAAGTTATGATGCTCCATGCGTAGACTGCCTCTGTGTCACATTTGGGAGAGCTGCCACGAAGCATGCCCTGCCAATCCTACTGCGCATGCCTCAGCTCCTCAGAGTGAGCGGTCATGAGAGAGTGCTCAAAGTTTCCTTTAGGATCTCCGTCTCAGAGGTGCTCCTGTGCGTGCCCTCAGGGCTGCTCTAAGGTGACTGCCTCACCATGTCCAGGATTAAGTGTACACTGGCAGGGAGTACATGGGCTTCACAGCGGCACTTGCAAGCACTGTACAGAGACGGTGTAGATATGTCCTTGGTGTGTCTGTAGGTTTAACCTTGAATGCTCATAAGAAATTAATGCACGTGCACAAAGCATTGCTCTACTGAATAACAGTATTCCATCTGCCTGAGATATTGCACTGGGCCTTATTTTTTCACTTAGGTCTGTTACAGAAGATGAGTAAAATGTGATAGTTTATGCAAGACAGGCTAGGTTCTTTGAGTAGGTGTGATATCTTTTATTAGACCTGCTAAGTAGTTGGGAAAAAGTTCTTAGCAGGCTTCCGGGCACAGTCGCCCTTCTTCAGGCATAAGAAGTCTCTGCTTTATGCCTGAAGAAGAATGACTGTGCCCAAAAGCTTGCTAAGAACTTTTTCTCAACTACTCAGTTGGTTTAATAAAAGATATCACATCTACTCAAAGAGCTGTGCTTGCCTATGTCTTTAGACCAACATGGCTACAACCAAAAACCCAGGATAGGTTATGCAAGACAGGTGTTTCTCTGCATGTATGTTGATGCACAGTATTTATAGCATGCCTCTGTGTGTGTGTGTGTGTGTGTGTGTGTAAAATTTGTCCATTTGGTTTTAACAGGTTTACTTTTCAACAGTACTTTTTTCCTGAAAGCATCCAAGGAAGCTAACTGTTATTTCTTGAGAGATGATCTGTAAAGCGTAGAACTGAGCAAAGCAGTAACAGTGTCAGAGACTGAGCTAAAATACCTGAATATGTTGCTTCCATCTCTGTTTATATAAGGAAACTTTTTTAAAAAGTGGCATGCTTCTGGGAATCCCTCCTGGGCTGCTGAAGAGAATGCAGTGCTGCAGTCCAGTGTATTTAAATGACTTTCTTCTTGATTTGGTGTTTTCATTTGGAAAGTTAGTTAATTATGCCTCTTTCTTCTGTTTGGTACATATGGCCCCCACAATTCTCCCATCTTCAGAAGTCTTGTACAGGAGTTTTTGTCTCTCTTTTTATGATTCTCAGTTTTGCCTTGGTGTATGTCTCCAAGTTGTCTTGAGCCCACTTTGCACTCTGCTTTGGAGATCCCAGTCCAATGCCTGCCTTGTTAAACTGTGGGTCATTTTTTCTACAAACATCTCCGTCATTTCCATTTTTGTTGCCTTATTTCTAGTCCTGTTTGTTTCCCTTTAATCCTTTGCTGTAGTACTTCATTCTGATTTCCAACCCCCCCCCC